GCGTAAACGAGGGTGGGGAGGGTGCAGCTGATAAGAAAAGATTAGATGACCACCCCCCTCGCTTTGTTTTCGCTGGTACACAAACATTTCTGTCTGTCTGCCAAGCTCCCTGTCTATCCATCTAGCTCTGTCTCAGAGAGAGCCACAAGACTGTGTCATCATCATGTTTACTCACATCTTCAAGCAGAGTATAGCACTTTGTCTGGATTTTTTTGGTTAGCCTAGGTAATTTACACTATGTATACTTGTATTTATGTGTACCTGTGAGACAGAGATAGACAGATAGAGAGAAAGAGACAGATTGAAACAGATAGAATGAGGGAGAAAGATAATTAGATAGAATGGAGGGGAAGCAGCATCCGACTCCACTGTTTTGACAGGCGGTAGCAGGAGTGAGTAATGAGATGATATGTCATTTTGACAGCTGCCGACTCCTGACTCAAAACAGTTACAGTATAAGCCACACACTCGCACACAAGACAAGCTTCCTGAATGAAGATAATAGCAGTTATATGAAAGTATCTAGTGACTATATATGTGTATATATATTATAGAAACCAGAAGGAAGAATGGAAGGCAGGAATGAAGGAAGGCGAGATCAAAGGAAGGAAAAAAGTAAAGACGAAGGAATGTAGGAAGGTAGGAAAGGAATGCAGGAAGGTAGGAAAGAAGGTAGGAAAGGAATGCAGGAAAGGAATGCAGGAAGGGAATGCAGGAAGGGAAGGAATGATGACACACAACCATTTACCTAGGATAACTACATAACACAACTGCCTGCTAATACTTTGAAGAAAACTCCTCAGACGAGGTGTTTTGTCTTTGCACATAAAAAAAAACTTCCACAAAAATGCACACACACTGGTTTTGTGTGTGAGGAGTGTAAAACACCATTGTGTATGACACCATGTTTCAAAGAGTTACACAAGCTGCAGAACTTTTAGGAATATGTCCAGTGACTGTATATTGGTATATACACCTACCATCCAACTTACGACCTGCTCGACTTATGTTTGGCAATGGAGTTGGTGGGAAGGACTATGTATCTCTTCTCGGCAGTGTCTTCTCTGGGTGTGTTGAAGATGTTTAGTGCTCGCCGTCTGCAGTCTCTGATGAAGTGACGAGGATAGTGGAGTTTGGAAAATACCTGTTCAATTATAGTGCATTCTTCCTCAAGGAACTCGTTGCTGCAGATTCTGAGTGCACGCAGGAAGAAGCCTATAATTACACCACGTTTGGTTTTGGTGTCGTGGTGAGAGTAGAAGTGGAGAAGATCGTTTTGGTTGGTGGGTTTTCGATAGACTTTAAAACGAAGTTCGTGGTCAGCTTTGCAGAGTAGAACATCAAGGAAAGGAAGAGTGTTGTCGACCTCTTCTTCAAGTGTGAACTGGATTGAAGGCTCGACCTGGTTGAGCTTGTCTTGGAGAGCTTGAACGTTGAAGCGTTTAGGAGTTATGAGGAGAATGTCGTCAACATAACGGAGCCAGGTGACAGACGAAGGAATAATGGTGGAGAAACGTTCGGCTTCTAGATGTTCCATGTATAGGTTCGCTGGAACATCTAGAAGCCGAACGTTTCTCCACCATTATTCCTTCGTCTGTCACCTGGCTCCGTTATGTTGACGACATTCTCCTCATAACTCCTAAACGCTTCAACGTTCAAGCTCTCCAAGACAAGCTCAACCAGGTCGAGCCTTCAATCCAGTTCACACTTGAAGAAGAGGTCGACAACACACTTCCTTTCCTTGATGTTCTACTCTGCAAAGCTGACCACGAACTTCGTTTTAAAGTCTATCGAAAACCCACCAACCAAAACGATCTTCTCCACTTCTACTCTCACCACGACACCAAAACCAAACGTGGTGTAATTATAGGCTTCTTCCTGCGTGCACTCAGAATCTGCAGCAACGAGTTCCTTGAGGAAGAATGCACTATAATTGAACAGGTATTTTCCAAACTCCACTATCCTCGTCACTTCATCAGAGACTGCAGACGGCGAGCACTAAACATCTTCAACACACCCAGAGAAGACACTGCCGAGAAGAGATACATAGTCCTTCCCACCAACTCCATTGCCAAACATGTTTCCAACATCTTTGCCAAAACATCATTCCAAGTATCTACCTCCACAACCACGACCATCAAGGACATCACCAGTAGTAGGCAGGACAAGCCTCCATCCTCTGCAGGGGTATACATAATCCCTTGTAATGACTGCAACAAGTTATACGTGGGCGAAACATCAAGGGACCTCCAAACACGTATTTCAGAACACCAATACGCAAGCAGGTCTGACGACACAAGGAATGCCTGCGTACAACACCGTAATTCACACAACCACTTGATAAACTACAGAAACTCAAGACTTATCGCCACAGAAGACAACACTCAATACCGAAGAATCCTGGAATCATCACTTATTTCTATATCCGACAACTTCAACCAGAATAGTGGCTTCTATAACATAGCGGAACCACTTGCCAAGAAACTTCTTCATCGCTATCCCACATAAGAACACTGTAGAAGGTCTGCTCACAAACTTGTCCAGTCTCCTTTCCAAGCTACCCAAGTTTTTAGACTCTACAACCCAACTCGGTACATCATCAGATGCAGCATTCTTCACCTGACCTCAGCCGGACTATAAATACTCGCGTTCCTTCCACCCCAGGTAGTTCTGTTTGTGACTTGAAAAAGCCCACTGTGTGGGCGAAACGTAGTCAATAAAGGATCACATTATACTGCATTTGTGTTTATATTTCCTCCTCTCCCTCCTCCTCCTCTCCCTCCTCTTCCTCCTCTTCCTCTTCTTCCTCTTCTTCCTCTTCCTCCTCCTCCTCTTCTTCCTCCTCCTCTTCCTCCTCCTCTTTCTCTTCCTCCTCTTCCTCTTCCTTCTCCTCCTCTTCCTCTTCTTCTTCCTCCTCCTCCTCCTCTGCTTTTGGTCTCAAACTCCTCGAAATCATGAAATTGATCTTCACTGACACTTCCATCTGTGTTAGAGCATCACTTGGGAAGAGAAGAGTTCCAGATTTGCTGGGGAGTCACATATTTCTTACCGCTAGACATGCTGAAAAAGGGCAACTGAAATGGCATTCCCACAATGCACCACTGGCTCCCCGATTTTTTTTATATGGTGCACACTGACCATGGAGACCCATTCTCTCAAATGTGGGCCTACCAGCTTTCTCCTGCTTGATTTGAAGCCACTAGAATTTATGCATATAGATACATCAAACACGGTATCTCCTATGAGGTATATATACGACCGCGACAGTCAAGGGGTTAACGATGTACTCGTTTACCAATGCCTCAGACTTATGACAGGCTCTCTGACCAGTATGCATACCTAACCCTTTCAGGGTCCACAGGCCCTCTCAGAGACTTGTTCTTAGGGTCCCCCAAACTTCAAAAAAAAAAAAAAAAAAAAAATTCTAATGAAAAGATAGAGAATCTTTTCCTTATCATAATGACACCAAAAGTATGAAATTTGTTGGAAAACTTATGGAATTATGCTCTCGCGAAGTTAGCGGTCTCAACAATGTGGGCACAAAGTGGGAAAAATCGCATCGGCGATTTTGCCCACTTTGAGCCCTATTTTCAGCCAATTCCAATGTACTAGTCGACAAAAATCAGAATTATTTTGCTAGAACTATTTTTTCTATCAAATGAGTCCAATAAACCACCAATTTACTGATTTTAACTATCCAATACAGTGGTCAGAATTTAGCAATTTTGCCAATTTCACACAAATTTCAAAAGATGCCAATTTCCAAATAGGGTCCAGAATAAACAATAAAGACATTTGTGGCACTAAAATAACATTTCCTCTGTTCATTAGTCATGTCCCCATGCCCCTCTTACATTCTTTTGCTTTCCATTTTGAATTTTTATTATTACAAAAAATAGAAGATTTACTGTTATGCAGACTACTGCATTAGTGTAGAAATGGTATAAATAATATCAGCGCACTTGTGAAAGAATATTAGACTCACCAGTTGACGTGTATTGGACGCTTAGCGTGATTTGTTTACTTTTGAACTTCGGTAAAAATCGAACACTTCTGCTATTTGAGCTCAATTTCAAGGTACATTTCATTGTAAAACCAGTCAAAATCATCTCAATTTCTGTAGTATGTCTTCCATTCTATACAGTGAGACCAGGAAAACTAGAATACAATAATAAATACTATACGAAAATACAGTGCAAATTTGCTGTTTTAATCCAAAAACACGGTCAAAGTTTTTTTTTTCTCATTACGCACTGTGTGCTGCAGGATTTTTTTTATACTGTGCACACTGACCACATAGACCCATTCTTTCATATGTAGGCCTACCAGCTTTCTCTCACTAGATTTGAAGGCGCTGGAATTTATGAGTACTAGTACATCAAGGACCCTGGTGCGTAAGCCGTACTAGTACGGCCAAAACCCTGAAAGGGCTAAATAATGTATATTAGAGCTGATTTCCTCTATTCTGTTTATTACAATATACAGTACACTACTGTATAAACATTTAAGAATATACCAGAATTGTTATAAATGGTACAAAGGTGGCATTAAAACAATATCAATTATGGTTGACACAAACCCACTACTATTATAGTATGCTCCTCACTTAGCAACGAATTCGTGTACCAACATATTCTAAGGAAACGGAACTCTGTCATTAAATGAGGAGAGGCTGTATTCATGAAAAACACTACACACACACCTGTATTAAAATTCTCCAAAATGTTTAATCCACTTATCTTTATTATCCCACCTCCCATCCCTCCCACCCATCCTTTTCCTATATTTCCATCCTTACCCATCCTTCTGCCTTTCCCATCTTACCAAAGCTCTGGTAATTAATGCAGTGCAGTGCCTGCTGCCTCTGTATTTGACTGAAGAAGCCTACTGTGTAGGCAAAATATTTCAGCGTAAAGATACCGAACTGTTGCCCATGCATCTTAAATCATCAGCTTGTCAGAATTTTATGCCTTTTTCAACATATTGTACAATATACTCAGGTTGTACAAGCTACAATGGTGAGGGACCGCCAGCATGGTCCTATCGTGGAACTGAACCGCATCAGTGTAAAGCGCTCTCGTTCCCGTGGTGGCTTAGCTGGTCCAGACGGGATGAAATCTGTGTTTGGTCAGATGGTTGCTAAAATGTCACTGTTAACACCTGATGCTCTCTTCCTGCCTCACCGTGTGTGGAAAGTCAAGTTTGTTGGTAAGTATTAGTTCTATCATTTAATTACTGTAGTTTTTATTCTATTATGTAGAAAAGTCTTAAAGCTCATAGCTTTATTTAATAATTCTTCTATAGATGATTTTTTTATATTCATTGGTTAGTTAAGTAATCCATTCCTGTTAAATTTCAAAAATCAGTACTGGACTTTAAAATTTGTATTTGTAATACAGCCTCTCCTCACTTAGCAACGTACTCGCTTACTGACGACTCGGACTTACAACAGACTCTCAGACCAGTATGCATACCTAAATAATGTATATTAAAGCCGATTTCCTGTATTCTGATTATTACAATATACAGTACATTACTGTACAAACATTTAAAAATATACCAGAAATGTTATAAATGGTACAAAGGTGACATTAAAATAATATCAAAGTTGGTTGACACAAACCCACTGCCATTATAGCATGCTCTTCACTTAGCAACAAATTTGTTTACCAACGTAGTCTTAGGAATGGAATTCCTTTGTTAAGTGAGGAGAGGCTGTACTGCACAGTGAATCCTCCCTTAGTGACATAAGGATCGGAGGAATGGTTTTTTTAATCTAAAAATGCATTAAGTGAATCTTATTTTTCCAGGGAAGCCCATGTTATAAGTTGAGATGGGGATTCCTTATATTCCATATATAATTCCTATTAATTTTTTGTTGATGGAATTTAAAAGTATGGATTCTCCAGAGATGGATTTAGTGTTTAGTAGAGGCATAGTGTGGTACTGTATCCCCACTTCATGAATGGATAACAAAACATATGAAAAATTATCAAGATAGAGAGAGAAGTATCACATTATGTTTTTGTCGTTGCTCAGTTGAAGGGTTGTGACTTCTCTTAGACTGCATGTTGTTTAAATATGTTGCGAGTGGTAAATTTTGGCCCAGACACGAGAAAGTAGGTCTTTGTGAAGGGTGTACACAGCATCACAAAAAAATCTGCCCCACCAGTTGATACACTGGAAGACATATTAGTGAAATAGGGATGATTTTTGTCAGTTTCAAACCAGAAGTAGCTTGAAATAAGCCTCAAAGTGGAAGAAATATTCAACTTCTGGCAATTTTTTTGAGGAAGTTAGGCCCCTTTCTCCTTGGTCGATCTTATGACCAGTCATTTTTGGTTATATTTTATTAATCTGAGAAATAGGGTAGAAGTTTGATTTTGTATGTAATAGGTTTAAAATGGAGGGGCAAGTGTTATACATTAAAACCCCGGGTTTTGGCTGCCCTGGGAATCAGCCAATTCGGGTTTTGCCAGCGTTTTTTGGCCAAATTTTGTCCCGCGTTTCAGCCGTTGCCCTGGGTTTTGGCCAGCGTACCAGACCTGTCCGCCTCCCCACGTAAGCGCCGTGATCCAGTCTAGCGTTGTTTATCCTTGAGTGAACATTACCCTATGCTCTCATCTTGCCAGCCAGGCATCCAGCCAGCCAGCCATGCATCCAGCCAGCCATGCATCCAGCCAGCCAGCCAGCCATGCATCCAGCCAGCCAGCCAGCCATGCATCCAGCCAGCCAGCCAGCCATGCATCCAGCCAGCCAGCCAGCCATGCATCCAGCCAGCCAGCCATGCATCCAGCCAGCCAGCCAGGCATCCAACCAGCCAGCAAGCCAGGCATCCAGCCAGCCAGCCAGACATCCAGCCAGCCAGGCATCCAGCCAGCCAGTCAGGCATCCATCCTACCAGCCAGGCATCCAGCCAGCCAGCCAGCCAGCCAGCCAGGCATCCAACCAGCCAGCCAGCCAGGCATCCAGCCAGCCAGCCAGCCAGTCAGGCATCCAGCCAGCCATGCATCCAGCCAGCCATGCATCGAGCCAGCCAGCCAGGCATCCAGCCAGCCAGCCAAGCATCCAGCCAGGCATCCAGCCCACCAGCCAGGCATCCAGCCCGCCAGCCAGGCCAGCCAGGCATCCAGCCAGCCAGCCAGGCATCCAGGCAGGCAGCCAGCCAGCCAGGCATCCTGCCAGCCAGTCAGGCATCCATCCTACCAGCCAGGCATCCAGCCAGCTAGCCAGGCATCCAGCCAGCTAGCCAGGCATCCAGCCAGCCAGGCATCCAGCCAGGCAGCCAGCCAGCCACCAGGCATTCAGCCACCAGCAATCATCAGCCAGCAGCCAGCCAGCTCAGCCAGCCAGCCAGGCATCAGCCAGCCAGACATCCAGCCAGCCAGCCAGGCATCAAGCCAGCCAGCCAGGCATCCAGCCAGCCAGGCATCAGCCAGCCAGCCAGCAACAGCCAGCCAGCCAGCCAGCCACCAGCCAGCATCCAGCCAGCCAGCCAGCCAGGCATCCAGCTCAGCCAGGCATCCAGCCAGCCAGCAGCCAGGCATCCAGCCAGCAGCTGCCAGGCATCCAGCCAGCTGCCAGCATCCAGCCAGCCAGCTGCAGCATCCAGCCAGCCAGCCACAGCATCCAGCCAGGCATCCAGCCAGCAGCATCCAGCCACCAAGGCATCCAGCCCAGCCAGCCAGGCATCCAGCAGCAGGCATCCAGCCAGCCAGGCATCCAGCCAGCCAGCCAGGCATCCAGCAGCCAGCCAGGCATCAGCAGCCAGCCAGGCATCAACCAGCAGCCAGCAGCCAGGCATCAGCCAGCCAGCATCCAGCCAGCCAGGCATCCAGCAGCCAGCCAGTCAGCCAGGCATCCAGCCAGCATCAACAGCCATCCAGCAGTCAGGCATCCAGCCAGCCAGGCATCCAGTCAGCCAGGCATCCAGCCAGCAGCCATCAGGCATCCAGCCAGCACCAGCGCAGCCACATCCAGCCAGCCAGGCATCCAGGCCAGGCATCAGCAAGCCAGCATCCAGCCTAGGACATGCCAGGCATCCAGCCAGCAGGCATCCAGCCAACCAGCCAGGCATCCAGCCAGCCAGGCATCCAGCCAGACAGCCAGCCAGGCATCCAGCAGCCAGCCAGGCAGCCAGGCATCCAGCAGGCATCCAGCCAGTCCACAGTCAGGCATCCAGTCACCAGGCATCCAGTCAGCCAGGCATACAGCCAGCCATGGCATCCAGCCAGCCAGGCATCCAGCCAGCCAGCCAGCAGGCATCAGCAACCACAGCCAGCAGGCATCCAGCCACCCCAGGCATCCAACCAGCCAGGCATCCACCAGCCAGGCCAGCCAGAAGCCAGCATCCAGCCCAGCAGAAAGCCAGGCATCCAGCCAGCCAGTATACAGGCAGGCAGCCAGCCAGCCAGGGCATCCAGCCAGCCAGCCAGGCATCCAGCCTGCCAGCCAGGCATCCAGCCTGCCAGCCAGGCATCCAGCCAGCCAGCCAGGCATCCAGCCAGCCAGACAGTCAGCCAGGCATCCAGGCAGCCAGCCAGGCATCCAGGCAGCCAGCCAGGCATCCAGCCAGCCAGCCAGGCATCCAGCCAGCCAGCCAGGCATCCAGCCAGCCAGCCAGACATCCAGCCAGCCAGCCTGCCAGCCAACCAGCCAGGCATCCAGCCAACCAGCCAGACATCCAGCCAGCCAGCCAGTCAGCCAGCCAGCCATGCATCCAGCCAGCAAGCAGCCAGCCAGCAAGACATCCAGCCAGCCAGCCAGGCATCCAGCCAGCCAGTCATCCAGCCAACCAGCCAGTCATCCAGCCAGCCAGCCAGCCAGTCATCCAGCCAGCCAGGCATCCAGTCAGCCAGGCATCCAGCCAGCCAGTCAACCAGGCATCCAGCCAGTCAGGCATCCAGCCAGCCATGCATCCAGCCAGGCATCCAGCCATCCAGCCAGCCAATCATCCAGCCAGCCAGCCAGCCAGGCATCCAGCCAGCCAGCCAGCCAGCCAAGCATCCAGCCAGGCATCCAGCCCGCCAGACAGGCATCCAGCCAGCCAGCCAGGCAGGCAGCCAGCCAGCCAGGCAGCCAGCCAGGCATCCAGCCAGCCAGGCATTCAGCCTGCCAGCCAGGCATCCAGCCAGCTAGCCAGGCATCCAGCCAGCCAGACATCCAGCCAGCCAGCCAGGCAGCCACCCAGCCAACCAGGCATCCAGCCAGCCAGCCTCGCATCCAGCCAGCCAGGCATACAGCCAGCCAGACAGCCAGCCATGCATCCAGCCAGCCAGGCATCCATCCAGCCAGCCAGCCAGACAGCCAGGCATCCAGCCAGCCAGGCATCCAGCCAGCCAGCCAAGCATGCAGCCAGGCATCCAGCCCGCCAGCCAGGCATCCAGTCAGGCATCCAGGCAGGCAGCCAGCCAGCCAGGCATCCAGCCAGCCTGCCATCCAGCCAGCCAGCCAGTCAGCCAGGCATCCATCCAGCCAGCCAGTCAGCCAGGCATCCATCCAGCCAGCCAGCCAACCAGGCATCCAGCCAGCCAACCAGGCATCCAGCCATCCAACCAGGCATCCAGCCATCCAGCCAGGCGTCCAGCCAGCCAGGCATCCAGCCAGCCAGCCAGACATCAAGCCAACCAGCCAGGCATCCAGCTAGACATCCAGCCAGCCAGGCATCCAGCCAACCAGCCAGGCATCCAGCCAACCAGCCAGCCATCCAGGCAGCCAGCCAGCCAGCCATGCATCCAGCCAGCCAGCCAGACATCCATCCAGCCAGGCATCCAGCCAGCCAGGCAGGCATCCAGCCAGCCAGGCATCCAGCCAGCCAGTCAACCAGGCATCCAGCTAGTCAGGCATCCAGCCAGCCATGCATCCAGCCAGGCATCCAGCCAGCCAGCCAGGCATCCAGCCAGCCAGCCAGCCAGCCAGCCAGCCAGCCAGCCAGCCAGGCATCCAGCCAGCCAGCCAGTCAGCCAGCCAGCCAGCCAGGCAGCCAGCCAGTCAGTCAAGCATCCAGCCAGGCATCCAGCCAACCAGCCAGTCATCCAGGCAGCCAGCCAGTCAGCCAGCCAGCCAGCCATGCATCCAGCCAGCAAGCAGCCAGCCAGCAAGACATCCAGCCAGCCAGCCAGGCATCCAGCCAGCCAGTCATCCAGCCAACCAGCCAGTCATCCAGCCAGCCAGCCAGCCAGTCATCCAGCCAGCCAGGCATCCAGTCA